CTCCGCTGGGGCAGCCGAACCCTGGAGTTACCGCGGGTACTGATTACGCCGGGAAAGGCACCCAAGTGGGGCTAGAATCAGGCCAGCCAGAGAGAACACGTTTTGTAGAAGCAGGGGATTTGTCCTGCCTTTGACACACCAGTCACTGGTGTACTTGCCACTGAAGGAAGCTGCCTGCAGCCACAAAACAGGAGAAAATGGAGCCAAACCTTTGAGGCCATCATCAGGACTTCTGCTCAACAGCCAGGCGAGTTAACCGGCCCAGGAGCAGCCCCGTCATTTATCACAGATTCCTTCTAACAAAGCTCTGGTTAAGCACCTGCTGCCTGCCGGGCTCTGGGCACGTGCTTTACGGAGGCTACTGAACTTGTCCCCTACAGTCACCTCGATTTCTCAGAGGAACAAATGGGCTCAGAGGGAGGGAGTCACTCACCCCAGGCCCTGCCGTGGCAGGGGCTGCAGCTCAGGTGAGACCCAGGTGTGTCTGACAGCAGAGGTCTTGCCACTTCGCCTCGAGGGGGCCTCCAGGAAGATGCCGGCTAGGTAGGACAGGCTGGTCCTGACAAACCACCGTCCTGAGGACACTCCTGCCTGCCGGGCGGGTGTCCACCTGCTAAGCTCACTCGGTTACGGTGGGAACAGCGGCAGCAGCCACGGGCCCTGAGGAACTTATCCCCCAGCTGAGACCTCGCATTCATCCCTTCAGCAGATTGCTGAGGGCCTGCTCCATACCTGGCACCATGCAGGGCACCAGGGATCCGTGATAACCGTCCTCATCAAAGCAATGTGCTAAGATCTCCCGGTGCCAGCATCTTAACATCCACCACTGGAGCTCAGTTCCTTTGGGTTTAGGCACAGGATCACCAGGAACCTCCCTCACACCTCAGAATGGAAGGGGCATGGGGGTTGTGGCCCACTGAATGTGCATTTTGAAGGCACTGCTTTTGCAGGGTAGAGAGAAAACAGTGCATGGGTGAGCTCTGCAGAGGAGGGGAGGGGGAAGCCCACATCTCACAGGGATGGTAAACGGTTCCACCCTGACCCCCATGCCCTCTGATGCTCAGAAGCAAAGGGGACTGAGGCCGAGTGCGGCTGGCAGGAGGGAACGATGTAAAGAACTGACATTCTTTACAGGGGGTGCAGTGAGCGTGCCCTGTGTCTGCCCATCCCTGGGGGCTGCCAGGGGTCAGGTGTGGGAGGGGCCCCACAGGAGAGGTCCCTGCAGAGAGGGAACCAGGAGTAGAATGGAACAGAAGGGGGAAGGGCAGGCATCAGACTCCAGCCCAGCGCCCCAGCTGCCTGGGCCTGCTTCTGCTTGCTCTACAGGGTCCATTCTCAGGGTCTCCTCCTTGTAGGTCAGGCCAGTTTACAGAACCATGGGTCTTGCTCTCATAGCTATACCTTAAGGGGTGGGGGGTAGATGTCCTGAATGCTGGGTGCCATGGCCACCCCAAACCCCACCCAGACCCACCCATCTCTCACCAGAACTCACTTTAGACTCTTCACAAGCAGAAAGGGCCCAAGTGTTTCCAAGCGCACCCCAGTCCCCCACCCTGACCACCAGCCTCAGAACCTGCAGGGCAGAGCTGCAGGGCCCAGCCCAGCCGACATCTGGCCTGCATCCCCCCGCAGCTCCACCAGGGCTGGCAGCCTTCTCAGGTGAGGTCCTTTTCCTTCGCTGGTCCCCAGGGCAGAGGGTGACTGGTAACCAGATGTCCCCACTTGGGGACAGCGTGCAACGGAGGCGAAAGGTTTGGGACCTCCCCCCAAGTGTGGATTCACCAGCGGCTGGCAGCAACGTCTGACCCAGCACAAGGCACCAAGCACCTGGCATCGGCATGCTCCCCACCTCCCCCACTGCCCGCCCTGCCTGCCTGCCCCTTCTCCCGCCTGTCCGGTTCTCCCGCGCTCCCTTCCCATCCTGCCTCCTGCCCGCAGTCTCCTGCTCTGCTCCATGTCATCTCAAGGAAACTTCCTACAGGAGCCAGGGAGGTGGTCAGGCAGGGAGGTGGTCGGACACGGAGGCGCAGGATGGGACAGGATGCCCCAGTAGGACTGTGCCAGTGGTGCCCACAGCTGGAGAGGGTTTGACTCCAGAGGCCTCTGGGCAGGCCAGGGACACCCTGGTGGGCAGTGGGGGGCCTCCGGCGCTCCTGCCCACACCCATCCTGCTTTGAGCCCAATTCTCGGAAGCAAGCGTGGGCAAGGATGAGTGGCTTCCCGGTGTCGGAGTGCCACTTCCACCTCCAGCTGCTCAGGCCCCTCTCAGCTGCAGCCTTGACGAGGACCCAGAGCTAAAGCTGCCCCCAATGAGCTCAAGAGCTCCCACTCCTGCGCCCAGCATTGAGCCCCTCCCTGAGAGGCAGGAAGACAAGGGTCAGAGGTCACAGGCTGCGGTGGCAGAAGTTTCACTGCGGGGCTTGGGGAGGAGGAAAAGAGCCAGCGTGCTCGCTTCTGCATGTCCTTGGTTGAGAGCAGAACTGGTCCTGCCAGGCTGAGGATGTCTGGGCGGGGCCCCAAGAATCCTGAATCCTGGGCCCGGGGGGACCGGCTCACTGGGCTGCCCCTAGAGCACGGAAGGAAGCAACTGTTCAGGCTTTGGTGGTCCTTTTCCAAATCCTTCTCCAAGTGGGCAGATGTTCCCTCGTACTGTGTGAGGGGTCAGGGAGGTGTCTGGGGTCCTGTCCAGGGAGCTGCCTTGTCTCATTTGACTTTACGAGAAGGCAGATTTCAGCAGGTGAAAACAGGGAGAAAATAAGAAGCCTCTGCCCAAACGGTAGTTACATCACCAAGACGAAGTGCCCCAGGAGACCGCCACCCCCGCTTAAGACCCCTGGACTCTCAGGGCAGGGAGACGAGGCTGCTCCGGAAACACTCACATCTCTCTCCAGTGGATGGGCAGGCAGAGTTGCCTTAAGTAGTCAGCAGAGTGTGGGGACCATAACAAAAAGGAAGCTTTTTATTCTTCCTTTCCTTTGCAAGCTATCACCACCACCTCTCCCCTAGGGCCCTGGAGCCTCAGCCACCCGAGCTCCAGGAACAGGGACTCATGCAAAGGTCCAGCCCCTGAAGACAAAAGCGCAATGGCAAGCTCTTGTCTGGTGAGGAGGCCCAGCAGCACGACTGTATCTACAAAATTCTTTTCATCTTTGTTTTGATGGGTGAAGTTCAATGCCAGAATATTTGGTTTATGAGTCACGCTAATTACATCGGGGGGGGGGGGCGGGGGGGTAGGGCGGGAGGCACCAGGAAGAATAACAGAAAGAAGCATGTTCCAAAAAAATTATGCTGTGCTGGTTGCCCTGAATAGGGAGGTTACGTCCCAGGAATGAGGAGGGAGCTGCCTGCACCCTTCCTGGGGCCATGTCGGCCTTCTCGGCTCCCACCTAGGAGCCTGTCCCTCACTGGATGGCTGCCCCTGCCCCAGACAGGCAGCGGTATCCTCTGGCAGAAAGAGGGCCCATCCAAGGCCTCTGGCACCTACATTTGTCTGTCGCCCTGACCTCCTGCTCACCAGGAGCATGTTCCTTGGCATCCCAAGAGACTCAAGATGGGAGAAGGAAAACAGAGAGAGCCAGAGGAGAGGGCTAGAGTCCCTGAGAAGCAGACCCCGGCTGTCTTTCTGGCCCCAGGGAAATTTCTCTGTGGGCTGCTGGGAAGTGGAAATTTGGAAACTTGAGAAGCTTGGGTTCCAGCACACACACATCCATGGCTGCCGTTATTTCTATTGCCACTACTGTTGTTGGGTCATCTCTAAGCCCCACCTCAGCTCTCAGGTCAAGAGGGAGAGTGGAGAAGGGGGACCAGAAAGGGCAGCTCAACCCTCTGCACCCCCCACCTCTCCTTCACCTGTATGTTTCCTGCCTCTCCCTGCAGTATGCCTCGATTTGTGAACTTGCACGTGGGGCTGTCCGCCTGCTTCCCTGAACTATAAAAAGCAAAGGCCTAGCGTCGCTGAGGACCTCACATCCTCCCCCAGGGACCCAGGATGTAGCTAGTGGTTGAGAAAACTCAGTTTCTCAGGACGCTCCCCATTTTCAAAGCTTGGAAAGAGGAAGCTCCAAGTGTGCCAAACTGCTTCCATTCTTAGAAACCAAGTGAGAGAGAGGAGACGGAAGCAAGTCACAGAGAGAAGTCAAGTCACCCTTCCTCCCAAGTGGCTCAGGAGGGCCCGTGAGCACCTAAAGCACGTTGGGGTCCCACGGAAGACACAGCAGCTGTCCAGGAATCGGCACGGCGGGGCCCAGTTTAACACGACGTGGGTGCCCAGGACAGGCGGGGATCACACCTGTGCCGTGGAGATGCTTGGTACTTGGTAGTGCACAGAGAGGCATGCGCAGTCCAGAGGCTCCAGGGCAGCTCAGTGACTCGGGCCCAGACCAGGGCCACATTCAGTGGCGTGGGCAGACCAGAGGGTCCCCCGAGAGGGACATTATTTTTTCCTGTCCAGGCTGGATCCCCTCCAGGAACACCAAAGCCATTAGATGCAGGGGCCAAAGCCAGCATTCCCTGTTCTGTGTAGGGTCCAAGTTGCCCACAGGCAGGGCTGGCTCTCAGACAGTCCAGGCGCTATTGGGGTGGGGTCTCCCCACCAGGTGCGAAGGTGACTTGGGTATCACTCCTTTCCCTTTCACACCCAGGGAAGAGTGAAGCAAGATAAACACGCCACAAAAATCGGGGGAGGTAACAATCATTCCTGACAGCATCTGTCTGCCACAGAAGCCCCCTGCTCCCTGGTCAACAAGGGAAACCACGGCCACGGCTCTCCACGGCACCTCGGCTCCGAAGGGAGTGTCAGGAACCGGCACCCGGCCCTTCTCCGCCAACTCCTGGTCTTTCTGCCCCTTTGCCGCAACTGGCTTCTGGCCCCTCCCACTCCGCTCCTCGCCCCGTGTAGGTGTCTACTCCGCGACCAGGCTGAAGCCAGGAAAAGGCGCACTGGATCCCCCTCCTTCCCCCCACCCCCGCCACGGCCACGTCCCGCCCGCCAGGCCACCTACCTCCAGCCACCAGCGTCCGGGAGCGAGCGGGGCGCCCGCGTCCTCCCCGCGGCCTCTCTTAGAGCATCTCCCAGCGGCGGAGCCCCCTCCCAGCCAGGTCGGGGGAAGACCAGACTTGTCGAAGGAGAGAGCAGGCAGGAAGGAAAAAGTCCTCCGGGAAGAGGGCTCAGAAAGTTGTCGGGGTGCAGGACAGCCGGCCGCTCCCCGGCACCTGGATCTCCTCGGCTACAAGGTCTCTTTGGCCAGAAGCGGAAACGCGGTTTCTCGAAAGTAGAGGAAGGACCGAAGCAAGCGGGACAGACGCGTAAAGAGCAAACCCGGGCCAGATGTGAGCGGCCGCGGAGCCTCGAACGCTCCCAGCGCATTTTATCCAAACAGCAGCCGCCGAGGATTAACCGTGTGTGTGCCCGGGGGCGGGGGAGGGGAGCCCAGCGCAACCCTCCTCCTGGCTACCCTGGGAGCTGGCGGGGGCCGGGGACTGGGGGCGGGGCTCTGAGAGTCCGGAAGTCCCTCCAGGTGCGGGCGTGGCCGGGGGTCCAGGACAAGGAAGGTTGGGAGCTCCGAGTTGCTGGGGGGCAGGGGGATGCGCTCCAAGGAGCTCCTGGCGCGCTTGCAGCCAAGCCCCTGGAATCCGTCCCCAGATGGTGGCAGACCTGAGACATCCACCTGGGGTCCGGGGACCATGGACAGGTCTGGGGGAATCTGTGAACCCCCGAAACAGAACACAAACTTGCATGTGTGCCCGTGTGTGTACACACATGTGCGTTGTTGGACGCTGATGGTCTAATGCTTTGATCAGATTCTTGGAGGAGTCTGTGATCCAAAGGTTAAGAACCCTGGCTGGGGGTGCAGACTTTCCAGGGGACGTGTGAGCCAGGGCAGGGTGGGTGGGGCCAGCAGGAAAGTCAGCATTTCTCAGTCTCCATCAGGCCTTTCATTCCTTGATATGAAAAACAGACATTTTCTCCACCTCATACAACTTCCTTGGCCCCTCCTCGCATCCTGATAAGCTGCCCTAGGCTTCTCGAGGGCTGCCCCTGGTCAGGCTGGTCTCCATCCCCAAAGTCTGAATCTGGATAGTTCTAGAATCTTATCAAATCAGAAGAAGAGGAAGGATCTGGCCTGAGGAACACAGCTCTGCTGTAATGATAATGGTTTTCTTTCTTTTTTGTTTCTCCCCCTCTCCCATGGCCTCTCCAATGTTTGGATGTCCTCCCTGCACTTTTTGTTTTGTCATCACTCCTCCCAGGGCCTCTCCCTCTGGCTACACCTGGACAGGAGGTGTAGAAGCAGAGATGCCGGACTGGGACGCTCGGGGCAAAGCAGACTGAGTCTCACTCTTCCTTGCCTTGGAATTTCTTCTCCACCTCTCCTCCCCATGTGTCTGCCTGGAAAGCTAAGAAATCAAAACAGGAAGAGGAGGGGTGTGCATTTCTGACATCCACGTGGCACACCTTCTCGCCAGGGCAAGCTGAGAATGATGGAGATGAAAGGAGACGGAGGGCTCCAGGCACGGGAAAGACCCTGGCCACCAACCTGCTCCTGTGGGAGCAGAAGGACAAGTGGTCCTGATGCTCCGTGACCCTGGAGAACTTCAAGGACTCCGTGGCAAGATTAAGTACATGCGTCTCCCCTGGAGATGTGGTTTCACTTCAGCTGGCATTAAGAGACTCAGAACTGCTCATGATCTTTGGCGTGTGTCTGAGACTTGGCAAACCCTACATCCCTGGTTGCTTATCCACACAGGAAAACCCAGAGATAAGCTCATCTTCATTCCCACGCATAACCCAAGGACGTGTCCTGGTAAACAAGACCCGGGCCCAGCACACCCACTGACCTTCCTCTCGTCTCTCTGTCCTCAAATAACCTTCGCAGCAGGGTGACAGCAACACGAGAGAAGAGGCAAGTAGGCTACATCTTCATGCAGCCTCTGTGGGACCTTCGTCTGGGACGTTAGAGGACTTGGGTCTTTCTCAGAACTCCTAGGATCTGGAAACCCCCTGAGTGCAATGGGAAAACTCCCAGGAGACTCAGACCTGGGAAAGTCCTGGACCGATACCAGAATTCAATGCACACAAAGTTGGGCATGCAGCTTGGAAGAGAAAGAGATGAGAAGTTGGAAGATTTGTCCCCCTCTTGCCCCCCGTGTAAGACAGCTTTGTTGTTGAAAAACTAAGAGAGTTACCTTTAAGATCCTTCCAAGACATGAACTCAGAGGCCCAATATAGAGCAGAGCTCTAGAAATACAGCCAGACAATGACCATGTCTTCCTGCAGCAGCTGGCTTGTTCTAAAAGGAGTCTTTGAGTCCTCAGCCAGGGGATGCTGCCCTACCTTGGCGAGCCTTAGGCCCCTTGCCTGTAAAGCAGAGCCAGGTCCAGGGTGTCTTACTGGAACCTGTGAGGACAGATGTACCTAGAATAGGCCGCAACTATCACTAGAGCATCTTACCCAGTAGGCTTTGGGCAGGGCCCCTTCATCAGACACGTACATAGTCCTAAGTGGCACAAATAAAGGGCATGTACAGTCTCCCAACAGTTCAAGTCACACTGTTCCGTGAAATTTGTTTTGTGCCACATTTAAGGGAACGCTACGTTTTCAGAGTTTTTTGTACTGGGGGATTTGGGGTAAAGCATGAGAATGTTCATTATAGCTATCAGTGTTTTTCCAGGGATAATCTTCCCTCTCTCCTCTTGGGTTGAGTCCCCATATCTCCCAAGAGTTAGGAAGAGATTACTCATTTTTTTGAGGCAGAAACTGGGGGTTAGGGGGTGTTGATATTAAATGTGGCAACAAGAGCCTAGGGTTTCCCAAGATATTCATGAGAAAGAGAAGTCTCAGAGGTGAGGGAAGTTCCAGAGAATGGGAACTGAAGTCTGAGTACATGTTGGGTAGTGCCACCAGGGCCCACAACTCAAGCCAACAGGCAACTGGGCAAAGATTCGCCAGGCTAGGCTCCCAAAGAAAGCAAAGTCAGCTCTCAATAAAAGAAATATTATGTCACGCAAATGGAGCTGGCCAGGGCCCTGATGCCCGTTGTCAGGTACTTCCTTACTGCTTTAAAGTGGTAAGTAGGACAGATTTGGCAATGCTTGATTCTCTCCATCGTGGCCAAAGCCACCCGCCCCCAGCAACCAGGGCAGAATGTTCCCAGTTCAGCAAGTATCTTCCCGTCAGGCAGTCTGGGCTGGCTCTAGGACAAGAGTCATGGTGAAAAACCAAAATTAACGAATTAGAACCCAAAGCCAGCAGCAGTGACTGGGGGAGATTTCATCAGCCCTGAGATGGGTCAGAGGCCAAGGCCAACCAGAATGATGAGCCCTCCCCGCCCAAAGAGGTCTCTTAAGCTCCCAGAAGAGCCGTAGGCCACACCCATCCTGGAATTCCCTAGGAGCCCACACCTCCTGCACAAGGATGTCTGAGCCAAACTGCTAATGTCTTCCTGAACATTCATTCCCAAGTGGCTCCACATTCTCAGACAAGGGCAACTCACGGGATGTAAAACCCAGCGGCTCACGGTGCTGGGAGGGGGGCACATTCCCTGGAATCCCCGCCCAGACGCAGCACATTCTGTGCACTCCCTGGTTTGGCAATTCCTTCTCTCTCCCTGGGCATGTCACTGTGCTTACTCTGCTTGTTTTCTCATCCTCGGAAAAAACTACGTGACCTCGGTTAACGTCGGCAAGGCGCTCGGTTCCAGATAAGCACAGCCTGTCATTAACGGCGCTGTGACTTTTTCCCCCTGGGGCCCTAACATTCTGCCTCTCCCAGCTATTTTGGGCCAGGCTGCCCAGCCATCCCACTGTCAAGGGCAGAGACTGGTATTGCAAACTCTTGAATTCCCTTCCAAAGGGTAGCTACAGGAAGGCTAGGATGGTGGCTTCCCACTGCCAAGGGATGGGGGTGGGAGAGCCTCCATGAGGAGTTGGGAAAGGAGCTGAGATGGAAACTTGGCAGCCAGACCCAGCCTCCCTGGCCGCTGGCCCACCCTCATTGCTCCTGGATGGCGCTGCTGGTGTTCTGGAAGGGTTGGGGGCAGGTGGGAATCAGACTGGCGACTGCAAGGATGCAACAGGCTAATCTGCTGTGATCCTTACACCTGGAGAAGACACTCTCACTATGAGAAGGACTGCCCTCTGGACTCCATGCCAAGGTGGGAGGTCGGGGAGAGGAAAATACACTCACCGTCTTACTTTTGCCCTTTATATGCTGTCCGACTCTAATCAAGACATTAAATGCCCCATGCCTCGGTTTCTCCATCTCTCAACATTTACTCCCCTATTTTGGGAATTCCTTTCCAGCACTTTCAGTTACACAGAGATAGTCCTAGACGGACCAGTTAGGTAATACTACTTTACTTGATGTACAAAATAGGAGGGCCCCCTGGTGGACTGCACGATTCTAGGCATTTCACTCTGAAACGAATGAGTGAATGAGTAAGTAGACACATGAATGAACAATTAAAGTGAAGAATTTTTAGTTTTTTATGCAGAGCCACAGAAACAAAAGGAGGAGAGCATTTCCAGGAGAAGGTCACGGTGAAGTCTCCTAGGATGCAAAGAGGACAAGGACAATGAAAATCGGAAGGAAAACCTGGTTGTACATGATTGTAGACTGGGAGGAAGGCAATTCCATGCCACAGCCTCCCGGGAAGGCAGTGTCTATTCACCAGAGGATGCAAGGCCCCTTTGATCTAATCATTTTTCTTCTAGGAATTTATCCTACAGATATACTTATAACTGTGCTCAAATAAGTACGTTCTGGGATATGTCCGGAAGCGTCACTGTAATGTAGAAAGATCACAGGTAGCCTAAAAGGACATCATTAGGGGCCTGGTAAAAGAAATTACAGGACATCCACACAGCGCAATACCACGTGGCTCTCTAGAGAATGAAGCAGCTCTCTATATAATGATATGGAACAAGCATTAATGTGAAGTGAAAAATCACAAACCTTATTGAAAGACGTTAAAGAAGACCTCGGTAAATAGAGAGGCAAACCATGCTCGTGGGTAGAAGACTCATCACCATAAAAATCTCAATTCTCTCCCAAGTAATCTGCAGATTCAAAGCAATCCCATTCAAAATCCTAAAAGGCTGGGGTGGGTGGGATATAGTGGGAGGGGGTGCGGAATTGTCCTGCAACATATGAAGGCTTATTATAAAGAGGTAATGATGAGGGAAGTGATATTGGAGCTACTATGAGAAATTATATCAGTACAACAGAAAGCCCCCAGACAGACCCATGTGTATATGGAAACTTGATCTATGACAAAACTGGCATTGCATACATATCAATGCGGGAAGATGGATTCTTTCCTAAAAAGAGCACAGAGATGTTGGGGCATCTCCAGAAGAAGAAATAGAAACGACCGAAAAATATAAGAAACAAACTCTCAGTAGTCAGGCAATGAAAAG